TGAGTGCAAAAAAAAGGGAGACATTATGAACAGTTGGAGAGAAAAGAAAGTTAGGATATGGCATTTAAACAATAATATATAAATAGGAAAAAGTATGAAAGTAATAAGAATAAAATTTGTTATTATTCAAAAACTGTCTATCAGGCAATTTATAACAAAAACATCAATTCCCCCATCATTTGAAAAAGCAATTAAAATTCATGTTTAGTTTGGAAAGTTTATTTAGGTTTCAGCTAATATTTGCTATTTGCATTCAATTTTTACGCTTTATCTTCTCGCTTTTTATGCACATGTGTAGAAAAACAAAATTATTGATTGACAAACGAACTTGGCCCCTGCGGACTTCGCCTTCAATCGAATCAACAACAAACAAGCAAACGGAGCTGCCCCTTTTGGGGGCATTGCACAAAGGTGAAAGTGAAAAGTGGCTGCTCTTGTTGTTGTTGCTTTCACACACAAAGTTTTACAATTTATTTATTTTTTTTTGTGGTTTTTTTTTACACAAATTCGTTCAATTTGTTTGAGTGCATAAAGTGAGCAACGGAAGTTGTTTAAGTTGAGTGGCCCACAAGCTGCGTGTTGTTGTCGTTGCTGCTGCTGTTGTTTTTATTATTGCTGTTGTTGTTGTTGTTACTTATAAGGTCAGTGTCAGATTTGGTCATCTACTAGATGACGAGCGAACGTTGTTTCTGTTGCCGTGTGAGAATCGTGTGCGTGCTGATGAGTCACAAACCGACAATAATTCAGCGGCAATTAAGATGAAGGCACAGTTCGCAATATATATATGTAAATATATATTTACACGTATCAATGTATGTAGATAAGTAGAATCGTAAGAACTTGAAATACCTTTGCAGTGCATTCGATTGAGTCATTAAAATGTCTCAAGGGAAGCCAGCTGAGCAAAAATACAGCTAAGGATGAATAAATATAACCAAATTAGCAAACTGTCTTTGTTAACGCATTTTTTCGAGCGTTTGAAAACGACTAAATATTTATATAAATTGAAATGAAATATTATAAGACAAAGTAAACACACTAAAAATCAAATAAATGTTCGTTAAGTCGTACTAAAATTTACTCTTGTGAATAAAGATACACTTTGCTTATAGATAAATATTTACTTCGGGACAAAGTTCTTTGTTATTCATTGATCGGTCATCCGAGCAATGTTTTTTTAAAGTCAGCTCGAATTTGCTTTATGGAGTTTAGATCAGAAGATGCTATGGCGATAATCGAATGGTCTTGCTGGTATATTTATGATCGTTTTTCTGTTCAAATTATATATCCGACACATTACAAGTTAAGAAAATCGAATTAAGCTTCTGGTTTATTTCTGCATTCAATATTCGACTTACCTAAACCCAAAAAGCCAGCAAAACAAAGCTGAGGCCAACAGAAACACAGTTGAATTGATAAGAGTACCATTTGTTTAGCCGGCACTGTATATTTACGTACTGAGAAATTAAAGCCGATAAGCGGATTGAACGAGGGCGGTTCTAGTTATATTTAAGTCATTACTTTGGCAAAGTAAGGTTTGAAAGTATTTAACGATTAGTAAAAAGAACAGTCGACTTCTTATGACTTAAGCAAAATCTTAATGCTCGTTGATATCCAGTTGGTTTGTCAATTTTAATTGTATCAAAATTAATTTGTGTTTAAATTCATTCTTGATACGAAAACAGACTCAAACTGATTTTTCTTCTTTTTGTACGCACCTCGGCATAAATCTTTTCGGGTAAGTTCAATTTCCCACGAGAAAAGCTGATTAGGAAAACAATCAAAAAGGTGGCAATTGCCGATTCTGCAGAGTAATTTGAATAGATGATTTATTTATTTATTTATTTATGATTTTTCTGTATATAAATAGACACTAAATATTTTTCATATGCTTAGACATCATTTTCTATGAAACCAACCATTTGATATAATTATAATGTTGAATCAAAATAGAATCCATCAGTTGAAAGGACCCGCATTTTATTTACTTGATTAATAGTTGACTTCTTAATGTTTTTCAAAACTCAATACTAACATTAATTCAATGCAATTACAATTGTTGCTCAGTTTCACAAGATAAACTCTCAACTGATCGACGCTCATCAATCAAATTCAATTATTAATTGAATAAGCCCTCAGTTTCAGTTTCAGTTTCGATTTCAATTTCAGTTGACTTTCTGTTAGTTTCTCTAATAGTCTATTAAACCCTGCCCTCGTTCAACTCATATTTAGTGGTGCATTATACAATAATTTGAGCATAAGGCCAAATAAAGCACCAAAAGTCACGCAAATATTTGCCTATCTAATTAATTTTGCATAATTTCGCTGCGAGAACTGTGTGTTTGCCAAAAATCACAAACAAAAAAAAAAGGAAAAGAAAATCGAGGTTTTTTTTGCAGTTTATTTTTTTGTTCTTGAACTTTTTGAACGATTAAATTGTTGTTGCCTTTGTTTTTGAAATTGGTTTGTTTTCTTTTTTTAACGCACACTTTTGCCATGTTTTCCCCACACGTTGTTGGGCGTGTGTCCAAAAAAGAAACAGACGCAAATGAAGGGGCACCAATACTACATTAGAGAGAACAAGAGAGTGGCAGAGAGGGGGAGGAAAGGCGCCGCAGGAAGAAGAGGAAAGCGTACACGTGCTCTCCCAACTTCCAAAATAAACAATAAAAACGAGACAACAGAAATTGCTGCGACCTGGCAACAGTGGCCGCACCCAAATCGACAGCACACCTTTTACGGCATTAGTAAGTTGCCCCTATATAATATTTAATATTTCGCATTTTTCATTTTATGATTTCAATAAGGAAATTAATTCATGAGATATCCCATATTTGCCTCTAGTCTTCTTCGTGACTTTAAAAAGTAGCAGCTTGGATGAGAGTCTAATTTTGGATTTGCCAGTGAAATTTAAAATGAATTCATTTGTGGCAACTCTACTAGAAAAAGTGACTTGTCATATTTCTAATCTTACATTTTGATAACCTGGGGAAAGTGTATTTTGTAGTCGGTAGAATGCCACATAGGAAAGTCTGAAAATATGTATCATTTTTGTTTTCACGTTGAAAGTATTATGCATTTGTTGCTGGGTGGGGAATCTCGTGCGGCAAAAGTGAGATAAGCATACCCGATTAGATTTGTGCAGGGCAAGGTTTTTATAGAGAATCACTTCTGTTACATAAATTCGATTCATATTGGACAAGTTGCTAGGTCAATTTATAAAATGTGATTTATGTATAAAAATGTTTACGTATATCACTTTCATTCTTTAATAATATTTATGTATATGATATTATTTGATATATTATATATATATATGAGTCTGATTATTTTTCACTGATTATTTCTTATACTTGAAATCGAACTGTAATTTAATTATTTATTAAAGTTATATCGAATGTACTTAAAGGGTATCTGTTGCTGCGACTTTCATTTTTGTTTCCTAGCTAATGTTTTGGACGTCACACTCTTCAAATTATCACAAATTTGCTTTTAATACATATGCATAAGTAAAAGTATAAATATGTCTATATATATATATATACTCGTATATATATATATGCGTGTGTGTGTGTCTGTGAGTATGTATTTATCTACTTAAATCTCATTGTAGCACTTTTTGGCCAGCCGAGCAGCTCTTAGCAACTAAAATGATTTAATTGGCTGCCATTCTCAAATCGAATAACCAAATAAATGTCAAAAGAACGCATATATAACATATAACATATTGTGTTCGATGAAATATATGAATTCCCCAAACACACATACATACACACACATGCACATACACATACAGACGTGTTAATGGCCGCCCAAAACAGCATGAGAAAAATCTTTGGTGGGAGAATCATAAATAATTTCATCAGTTGTCAGGCGAAGAGCGACAAATGGTCGGATTAGTTGAAGGCGAAAAGATGAGAAGCATACACACACACACACACACTCATACATATATATATATATATATATATATAAGCACATATATGTTTGTGTATGTTTATAAATTAAATAATAAAAATAAAATGTACAAAAATTGCGATGCTCGGGCAATGAGCAAAAATAGCAGCAGCAACTAGCGCCCGTAACAACAACAACAACAACAACAGCAGTAACAATAAATAAATCTCTTCGCTTGCTGTTATAATTTTTATTTTTTGTAATTTAATTCAATTGCAGAGTGTTGTTGTTGCTGTTGTTATTGTAACTGTTGTAGAATAAAACGGTGCCTGGCTCCAAGAATATTAGCAACAACAACAACAACAAAGGAAGAGTAATCAAAAGAAAACTGACTTGAGACAGCTTCACAACACACACTCATACATAGCTATGTATGCATGTATGTTCTGTACTATTTACACTCGCATTGAGAGCAACTGCAGCTAATTCAATTGAGAGGCACTCGAAGATGGCGCGATTGTCCAATCAGACTGTGTATTGCATGCATTTCGCTATTGTGATGAATTAAATTGAAGTTGTTATTAACTGTAATTGTACGACCCAGGCACGAAACACAGATCGAGTGCAAGAGGGCGAGAGGACGGGCGTAGAAGAAGAGCAGACCAGAGAGATCTGGAAACAATACTAAAAAAATGCAGTACCCACATACACACACACGCACGCATGCATGCACGCACGTCTGTGAATGTGTGCGTCAAAGGTACAAATCGAGTTTGCCTATATGTGTATGTCGTGTGTGTGTGTGTGAATTCGTCTTAGCTACATCACGAAAAGCAGCGATTATAAACAATAATCGGCACGCACTCACCTTTGGTCCCTTGTGGTCGATGTGTATGTGTTGATTTGCTTTCGCTGCATACAATTTTAACTGTGACGCCCTTTTTTGTTTGGCACATGAACACACACACACACAGATCGACACACGCACACAGATAAACTCAAACACAACACTCACAGAGCAACTCAATACCTGAGCAACATGAGAACAAAAATCAAATACATATATTTATATTTATATATACATGTGTGTCTGTGTTTATTACCAATTATTTAAAATTTTCACTTGTGTATTCGATTTTCTTCAACTTTTCATTTGCAATATTTTTTTTTGGCCTTTTTCTTTGCGCTCAAAAGTTGCGCTCTGTGCGCATCACAAAATCTGCCGCACGATTGCCATTGAAGTTGGGAAATAGTATTGATGTTATTATGATATTATGTCGTTAAAGTCTTGGCTGCACGGCGCGTCGCTTTTAAATATTTCTTTAATACTATCTGGCTGCACTCAAAACTTTGAGCCAAAAAAATTTGTTATGCATTTCTGCTATGCGGACCGCAACGTGAGCTCCTCTCTGCGCTAGTAATCAACACACACTAATTACTATGTCAATCTATCGATATCGTTAAATAAACTTTCAAGAAGCAACCCTGTTGGTGCTGGGAAAAGTCAGTGTTGATAAAGATTCGATGTCATCCATACAGAAGCTGTGTGATATGCCAAGCAATGCCCTTAAATGCATGTTCATTTGTAAAAGACAATAACATAGCTATCTGAACAGTGTTATTAAATTAACTAAAGTATTCGTTGGTTGCCCAATTTGATTATTTTCAAGAAATACATGTTTTTCATGTTCAATAACAAACTAGTATTTTTATCGGTCATTTTTAGTAAATGTGTCTCATAGAATGTACGGTCACACTGCCATCCGTCTCTCTTTTTCACATTTTCTTTTGTGTTTTGTTTCTCGCTCTCGCTTGAACGGTACGGACGTGTACTGCCGCTGCGCGTGTGTGTATTTAACTTGGCTTAAGGAAAAAATACTTAATTATACAATACAAATGTATTTTGTTCTGAAATATGCAACAAATTGCATTCAATACACCAGTGCAGTGGGTCTGACATACATACACAACGTGCGGAATGGCAGGGAAATGCATCAATAAGCAAAATACATCAAGTTTAATTACGTGAGTGTTTTGTATGCAGTGCACGCGATAGAGCGAGTCAGCAAATCAGTGCTCATCATAGCCGCGTAGCCGTGTGAAAGAGAAGCAGCGCATCTAAATTGCTTGTGCTTCTTTTGCTGTAAATGTGACGACGAAAATGGCTTAAAGAAAAAAAGTAAAATATTCGGAGTCGACACGCGTGTGTTTGTGTGCTGTGTGTTTTTGTCTGTGTCTCTGCCTCTGTGTGTGTGTACGTTTCGAGTTCGAAATGAAATTTACAACAAATTGAAATACAAATTGCCCTAAAATGTTGATCAAATATATATATGCAGCATGAGGCAGCAAGAAGCAAAAGAGAAATAAGAGGCTGCGTCGTCTGTTGTTCAATAAGTGCAAGAAAAAAAAATTAGAAAAAGCGGTTGCCGCCGCCTCTGTCAACGTCGACGTCGTCGTCGTGTGTACGTGCGAGTGTTTTATATATATATGTGTGTGTCTATAATATCTGTGTGAATGTGTTAGTGCGTATATATGTATACAAAAGCAGCAGCAGCAGCTGAAATTTATTATCGCGGAGAATATCGGAAATTAAAATTTAGCCAAGCAATGTATTTCAATTATTGTGTCTCTTTTTTGCAGCGCATGCTAAAGCTAAATAATAATCACTTAACAACAGCAACAACAACGAAACAAATATAATTTAAGTGTAAAGTTGAAGCAACAAAACAAACTCGAGGTTTCGCCAATTCGTATTTTTGCATGTCGTCTTATCATCAACAACAACAACAAGGCGTAGTTTCGCCCGCCGAAAATGTCACATAACTGTAATTACGAATGGAATAAGCGCTAAAGACTGATCAAGATAAAAGTACTACAACAAACAGATAGAGAGAGAGAGAGAACGACCAGCAGAGAAGAGTTGGCTAGCGGAGATTGGAGCGAGGGCGGCGTGAAATGTGAGTACCACCCTCTCTCTCACACTAGACACATACATGTTTATGAACTGTTTCCTTTTATTTTTGTACGCGACATATCAGTAAGCGGTTCTCTCTTTAATTTTTTTTTTACATTGCCTATGCATTCGCGATCTGTCGATCAAATTGAGCGGAAATGAGCCTCTTTTTCTGTATATATTTTTTTATGGTTATGTGTTATAAAGTGGTGGCAAACCAGCTGATAATGATGAGCGGATGTGGGAAAGACCTGAGTGGAAATGGGCTAAACTGTTGCGAATGCGGCAACACTTTTATTTCTTTCAGTGTGAGAGGGAAAAGGTAAACGCGAGTTTGATTGCAACATTTAACAATTTACATGGAAAAGTTCTGTTACGCTGTCAATCATATATGAAATCCAATTAAAAGCCCAAAACAAACTAAGCAACAAATGCCAAAAGACCCAAGTACACACACTCACACAAAACACACCAAAATAAAACCAATTACGGCAACTAGTTAGACTTGCTCGCAGTGTTGTCAGTGTTGCTTACTTTTGCGAAGCAAAAACGGCTAGTTTTAGCGGGAAATTAAAGAGCGAAAGTGTTTCGGATTTATAGTATTGCCAAAATCAAATACAACAATTCAATACATACGTGGTTTTTGTTTTATAATAAAAATTAAAAAGAAACACACACACATATTTGACTTGGCAACACTGATCACAACACACACACACATGCGAGGCAATTGGCCATTTATGTTGCTTGATGGCCGCCTGCAGTCGCCTGTCAATTAAACGCTCGCAAATCGTTCTCCTTTTTTCTCTCTGTTTATTTTTCTATGCAATGCGTTTTTATTTATATTTTTTTTTTAGAGTGTGTCTCTTTCTCTCTCTCTCTTTCTCTCTCACACACAGGCACAACCCACGCAGCAGCATGCGTCGCCGTCTCCTTTTGAAAAGCCTTCAGCTTGGATTCAATTCTCTTTTCCTTTTTGGTTGGCTTTGCTTTGTTTGCAGCGGCTGCAAAATTCCAAGCCGAAAGAGAAATCCATAAAAAAAGCGTACAAAGCACAAAACAAAACCCGAAGAAGCAGACAAACAAAAAAAAATAAAAAATAAAACGAAAAACAACAAAAGAGAGCGGACAAAAAACGTGGCAGCAGCTAAAAAAAATAAGTTGCTCTGTTTTGTTGTTGGTGTTGTTGTTGGCGTTGGATACACACCAAAAACAGACAACGGCCTCAGTCGGCGTCAGCAGCAGCAGCAGAAACTTTACTTGCGCTCCGCTGCCTCCATTCTGTCTCCTTCTTTGTGTTTATCACTGCGTGTGTGGGTGTGTTTGTTGTCTGTAATGTTGCTTTGTTTTTTTTTTTTGCTGCTGCTGTGGTCTCTGCGCGCTTCGCTGCATTCGCTGCTACTGCGGCGACTCATCCTCAACAACAACAATCACAATAAACTAGCGAGCTTCAGACTTCAGTTAGATGAATACATATACATATATTATAATTATTATTATTATTACATATATATATATTAATATAAAATACCGTTGAATGTGCTTCGTTTATTATCAATCCATGTTTTTTTGGATTCTTTTCATTCTTAAAAGTAAAATTATAACAAACTAAAATAAAAAATGAATGAAAATAAAGCTTTAAATATGAATTTTGCTCAATGTTTACACGCCCCACAAAATGGAAAAGTGCGCCATATGTTGTAAGCATCTCTTGTTTCTGTATACATCTGTCTATCTATCTGCATATTAGAGTTATGTATCCGTAAGATACAAAAATAGTTTTGCTGTATCTCATTAGCATTTTGGAGGTCTGCCTGGCGTGAACTCGCCAGCAGCAAGCAACAATGCTGTAAAATATATATATTTGTATTTGTGTATATGCAACGAAAATAGAAACCACAAAAACAACGAAAAAGTTTTACACAAAATGCATTTGTAACAAAAATTATATAGGCGGGGGTGGGTGGGGGTTCGTGAGGGAATAAATCTCTGCCTGCTGCTGCTGCTGCTGCAAAATGTTGTTGACTGTTTAGAATTTAAAGTTAAATTTAGACAGGGGACAACATGTAAAAGTCAAAAACGCAGCTGCAAACAAGAATCGAGACTGAAAACAGAGCAGCAAAACTTTGAGGAACTGCGAGAAAAACAACAACAACTACAACATAAACAACAATCATTGAAATCCCATTAAAAAGGCAAAGCTCATAGAATATGTATGTGTGTGTGTGTATCTGTGTATTCATATATATATGTGTTTGTTGAGTGTGTATACAAATGGTTAGTGTTGCCAGCCAGCAGAAGCTGCTTTTAATTTTTTCTTTCTATTTTTCTTTTTTCATTTCTATGCGCATCGCGAGTGACTTTCTATGTGTGTGTGTGTGTGTGGGTCTCTTTTTTAATTGTTTGTATTTCTTTCTATTTTTTTGACAGTTGAATGAACTGTGAGCAAGCACAGCAGTAGCAACAACAACAGCAACAGCAAGTCTGGCATTTATTGTTGCGTTATTATAAAGAAGGAAATAAATAAATAGAAGCAATAGGCGAAAGGAAAACAGAAACAAAGCAAAAGCGGCATTAAAAATAAACGGCTCGACCCACCAAAAGAGTTGTAATTGAGGTGTGGGGTAAAGAGAGAGGGAGAGAGAAAGAGAGAGATGGAGACGAGTCAAAGCAAACCAAAAGTGTGGCTGCAAACTAGAAAGAAAAAAATCAGGAGAATAAAATACAAATGCATGCCGGTTGGAATTGGGAATGCTTTGGAAAAAGGAAAGGGGGAGGAGGGTTTAGATAGATAGATAGAGAGAGAGGGAGATAGGATGCGAGCAGACGTTAAATAAAGTTTACGTAAAGTTGCCAGACATATTCAATTAAAGAGAGTGTAAAGCATGAATGCAACTCTGTGTTTACAGAGATGAATAAAAAAAAAAAGCATAAAAGATATTCACACAATACAAAGAACCAATAGATAAGGGTATTATGCGGCATGAATATGCCAATGTGCATCCATACAACACACATGCAATGTGCAGCAACGTTGCCAGTTTTCTATTCAATGCAAAAATAAGTCGTGCATTTTCACTCTCTCTTATTTTCTTCATTTAGAAAATGCATTTGTTTCGGAAAATCGATTCGATTGCTCATGGAAAAAATCTTTTATTTTCAATTATCCATTTGCCATAATATTTGAAAGTATAAATGAGCGTTTAATTGCTTCTTTGTCTTCAATCAGCTGTTGGATAATCTGACTTCTTCTGTCTTTAATTATGCTTCGAATATGGCGAATATAATTGCTGTTGTTGTTGTGTGCTTTTTTCTGCTTCCTCTTTTGTGAAGTTACTCCAGTTATTGGCGTTCACTCGTTTCTTCACTCATCTATTCAATCAGCTTCAATCAATGTCAAAGCGAATGAGCCCCCCTCCGCCCACCTCACTCAATCTTAATCTCGATTCTCTTTCTGTCCTTCGCTCTACTATTTTTGATTATCGTCATTAAGAAACGTTTTGTTGCTTAAACCATGACGAGTACAATGCCCGTTCCATTCCACGGTATTCCACGCCATTTCGTTCCACTCTCAATATGGAGGTCAAGTTGCGCAGTTTTAGTCGCTCGAGAATCGCACGCGGTTTGCGTTGAGGTGCTAATCGATCGACATTTGTATTTTGTTGGTTTCTCACGCTGCTCGCTGTGTGACAGCGATATAGTTTCTCATATATCACACCTGCCCCAAGCAACGAGCTCTCAATTTGAGACTTTTGCTAATGTTGCAAATGTCTCTAGTTTTTCACGTTAAAAATTACTTTTCGTTTTTACCTTATTTGTTGTTTCTTTGCTTTGACAGCAGCTGCCAGAAATGAGAATAGAAATGTGCTCGAAAACGGAGCCAAGACAAACTGGCGACGCTATCACTCAAAGGGGAGACCTGACAATGGGGCTGCTTTATTTTGGGGACGCTTTCCTGGGCCAAAAAAAAAAAACTAATAAAGTTGCCTTTTGTGTTGTGTCCCTTTTTTTTTGCTGTTTGGCACGTGTTTTCTTGGCAAGTTATGCTCTATTTTTCAACGGGTTATTAATGGCATATTGGCTTTTCCTTTCTGTTTATCTTCTTCTTTGTCTTTTATATTTATTATTAAATTTGCGGCAATGTGGCAATATCTGTTTGTTTATTAGTCCTGTTGACCTTTGTTTTTTCTGTCCAAACGCTATTTGTTGCCATATTTTCGTTTCATTGAAAAAATGCCATGTAAATAGAAACAGGCAGAATTGATTGGATTTGTGCCTTGTGCTTTGGAGTCCAATGTTTGCTCGAGTTGCGTGATTGACTGTAATATGCCGAGTGTCCTTTTTAGGGTCAAAGTTGACAAGCTGACGCCTTGACAAACAAACAAGCCAAGATATAAATAGCAATTTTAATATAGAATGCCCTAAAAATGGGTAAAGAATTGTGCAAAATTGTGTATTAGGCACAAGGAAGCATTTTCGACCACCTTATGTATATATATTCGTGATCAGCATTAACAGAAGAATCGATTAAGCTTTGCTCCAATAATCTATCTTCTGACTGTCTGCTCTGAAATGACCTTAAGTGCCAGAGACTTGCTGTTTAGAATTTCATTTTATCAATGAAATTGATACTATGCAGACCGACATCCAATGGAAATAAAGATATAGGGTTCTAATAATTTGGGATAATATTGAACAACTGTAGAAATTGTATAATGATCGATAATGGATAAGAAACACACACTTTATGAACCAAGACATCTTTTCATAATAAACAAACTACTCAGTCCAGCTGGGTGCAGGGTAACTGCTAGTCGAGTTCTCCCAAATAGAGCAATCTTACTTGGGTCGTATCAAGTTTCGATATTAATATATTTTTTGATATATCGAATATAAGATAAATCATATTTTTACCAAGAAAATCCATTGTCATATACATATATATAATATATAAAAAGTATGTATAATAGACTCTTGTCATTACTTCGATAATGTTGCATATTTATTCACTAAAAAAAGTTTTGTTTATTTTGTTAGTTTCCTTATCCTTCGTGATTAATATACAGAAACTAAGAAAATATTGTCTATTTTGTGTGTTTTATGTGACTTCTTGTCAACTTTTGGGCTGAAAGAGGCACATCGAAATAAAATGAGTACAAAAAAAAAAGAATTACTGGCAATTAGCCCGCATGGCAACTTTGGCAAAGTCAAAAGATAGGCAAAGACTTACTTCACTTCACACACAAATAATGCTCGTCGATGCGAAAGATAGCAACTAAAGCTGACGGTTTGCTGCTGCTGCTGGCAAGCTATCCATTTGGATCCATTGTGGCGTGAAACGGTTATAACTAACGTTAGACACGTGTCCATGTATATATCCATGTGTGATAGTTATGCATACACACACACACACACACACACACACACATACACATACAAGCATGCATAAAATAATACCGTAAACATAAACACCATGTGAACCGTCAACGTGTGCTAGCAAACCCTAATAAAACTACCCACCCCCTCCTTCCCCCTCACCATCACCTGCTCTCCTCCTGAGCAGTTGAAATGCTTTTACATGGCAACAGAACAGAAAATCGATGGGAATTTACCGTGCGTCTGTCACTCTATGCATGTATTTGTGTGTCTGTTCATACTCGTATATACACATACACACACACACACATACAGACATATCTACGTACTTCATGTATTATGTATTTTGATGTACATGCGCAAAATTCCCACATCATAGAGAGCACAAGAAGAAGAGAAGAAGAAGACTGTGCAACTTTTTTTCGTAGACAAAACAAAACAAAAAGGCAGCCATCGACACAAAATAAGAAGAAAAAAGACAACATCAGCAGAAACAACAACAAAATGGCACAGTGGTCGTTAAACAGGAGTAGCAAGCAGA